ATTAGTTTTTCTGCTTATAAGTCAAAAATCGATGGACCGATTTTGACAATTCTCACCAATTCGGAATGGTCGGTTGCTAGAAAAAGATAAAATCTAAGAAAATCGTGCAAAAATATGCCAATAAAAAGTGAACATTTCTTTGTCAAAATTGTTATCGCATCCGATTTTTTCATATTTGGACCTACAATTTTGATTTGTAAATTTTTTAATATTTTCTACGGTTAACAATTAAAAACCAATCCATACAAAATTTTGCATGATGAGAGAGTTAAGGGAAAGTCTAGCATTTTTGAAATTGATTTTTTTGTAAAATTGTTTCGAATCAAAAATGGGTGTGGACCTAAGGAGGTTTTCCCATATATTGTAGTGTTGTAACTCAGTCCGAGGGAACTTTTTCAGAACGTTAAAGTACTAAAAGTCGACCAGAAATCGGCAATAATGCCGCTACATTTTAATCGTCCAAATTTGTCTATTTAAAAAATTTCGCCACATAAGAACATAAACAAAACCCTTAAACGTGGCTGCATTTATTTGTCGATTAAGTGTACAATTTTCTAGGAAAAAGTCAATGGTCAATGGTGTAGATTTTTGCATGTAAAAGAATAAGTCTTGTGTCTACGTATTGCATATTTTCAAAATACCTGACCGGATACCGTTCGATATTGCTCACAATTTCATGTTAACTCTCACAAATATTGGTGGCATATTTTTAATGCTTTTTATAAACGTCCATTCGTCTGGCCTTTACGCAATTGCAATCTAATATTAACCAAAGACTTACACCTTTCCGTATGGTGACAAAAATATTTCCCAGATATCAAAAATTTCCCACACTTTCAAATCCTATATCATTCGCATGAATGTTCATTCATACGTATATATGTAAGTATAAAAAGTACTGTGTGAATTTTTTGTCTATTGTAAATGTTGACTTTGTTGCCTACATATTTCAAAGAGAGAATGTCACAAAACGAATGTGTGAAAGCGTTTAGTAAATTCCATTTCCAGTTTTTCAATTTGACAAAATACGTGTAAAGATTCCAAGAATTTATATATTACACATTTTCCTTGCGAGGAACATTCATACACATTGGATTCCGGTTATATCATCGGTATTATGCTTTAATGCCATTCTCCAGGGAATAACTATAAATTCGATTAAAGCTGCCATTCCTCAAGGATGATAAGAGTTTTGCACAGCGAATTCGAACAAGGCATGGGTATTTGCCAGTGCCGTAAGGGGCAGTTGTTTTTTTTTTCAACTAAAATGTAAGGACACATATTAAAATGTTCAAATTTAAAATAAAAAAAAACGTTTTTAAATTTCGTCTAGTGGCTACTAATCTTATAATAAAAAAGGAAAAACTCGAAAAAGAGAGAAGAATTTTTTAATAAAATATTTATGCAAATGTTATCTGCTATTTTCATAGCCCTTAACGAATTTCGGAATGAAGTCAGCTGTGTTTAAATAAAACAACATTAAAAAAATTTTCAATTCCTGACATCGTCAATTGGAATATATTGTATTCGCAAACATTGTGAAATATATTAAAGAAGATGTGTGTGTGCGTATCATGTGGGTGTTACAGAGGTGTTTCGGTTTACAATTCATTTTAACGACGAAGGTTTTTTGTTTATAACAACTCTGTTGCAGTTTTATTATCCGGCAGTGGCATAAAACGCCTTTCTCGCTTAGATGCATTTTCATTATTGAAAACAACCAACCAACAAACAAACCAGCTAACTAACAAACTTCAATGGGATTTTTTTATTTGTGCCTGTGGTTGAAACATCATCAGGACGAGATTGTAACATGACCCACAAGGTCGTGCATGAATACGTGGTTATATACAGATACATACGTTTATGTCTATCTATACATGCGCGAGAGAGGAGTTAACTCTGACTTTTACTTTCAACCCAGGACTTTTATTGGTGAATTTTTTTGCTGAGGAGATTTTGTTTTATATCTCTGTTTCACAGAACTGTTGTTAAGGACTCCTTTATTCTGAGTATTTCAGCAACATCAGCAAAACTGCTATTTTATTTCTGTACAGATTAAGGAGTAAAGTTGCTATATGTTGGATGTTGTATGATTTTTATAGCATTGATGGTCATTGTCTATTACGAGGTCTTTCTGATAATTGATGGAAGAGTAATAAAAAAAAGTCACTAAGAGAAATTTCTCCAAAACTATTTTGTAAAAAAATGAGGGATTCACCTCCCCACAATTACGCTCGCCAACAAACTAAAATTATTATTGAATGCAAATCAGAAGCTTTATTAAATCGACAACGACTTGAAGCAAAAAAAAAAAAAAAATTGCTTCTATAGTCCTTGCCAAATGCTCCTCACCCATCTCATCTCAATTACAATTGTCTAAATGAATCGAAGAAAACGGCGTAAATCTATTCAATTTACAGTTTAATCTTTTGTTGATTGTAAAGCATACTTTTAGGCATGTCATCTACAGTGTAATATGTGCAGTGGAAATAACGTCGAACTGTACTAGTTTTACACATTGGATTTAAGGGTAGTAAACATAAATAGTAAATTTATACTATTGAAGATTAACCCACTTGGTTATTAGATCCAATGGGTTAAACTTGTGTGTTTAGATCAGCACTACTCAAACCCGTGTGCTTGCATATGAGTCCAAAAAAGAGATTATTTAAGAGATTCATTTCAATTGTTTTCAAACTTGGGTGTTATTTAAATTTATTAATAATGCGAATTATTACAAAAATATATAAATTGAGTTTAAACATTGGATTTTTGCTGATTTAAAAAAAAAAAACTAAGAGAAATTGGAGTGGTGAGCGAGGTCTGATTTTTGAGCTTCGCTGGTTTAGATACACCCTTAGGTGGATAACAAACAAAAACAAAGCTAATATGGAGATAATTGAAGTTGAAACAAAAGTTTCAGACAGTCAGCAACGTCTGCAAGGAAAATAATGTATCTTCAAATGTTTTATTATTGTTTGAATACAAAATGTAAAGAACACGCGGAAAACTTTGCGGGCTTGGAGTGTACCGCAGTACTAATGGCAGTACACACCGATACTTTCCGCTAACTTGTAGATTCCGCTCCGGAATTACAATTAATCCTGTCGTATGGAGGGCTAGTTTTGAATGAAAATCTGATTAAATAAATCCGGAAAAAAATAAATCCTGACGACATGGATAAAATCTGTATAAAATTTTGTATAAAAAAATATAAATAATATGAATAATGGGTTAACCTACTTTATGAAAATTTAATAATTTTTTTTGAACAAAAATTTAAGATATAAAACTGTGCCATTTTTATACCCTACACCATACATAGTATGGAGAGTATATTAAGTTCGTCATTCCGTTTGTAAGTCATCAAAATAATAATTTTAGACATATAAAAGTATATTATCTTGATCAGCGCAACATTCTAAGACGATTAAGACCTATGCATCCGGTAGTCTGTTGTAATAACGTTAGAGTCAAAACGAATAAGGATAGGAAGCTAAAGGTTTGCACAGATAAGTCTTTTGTCTGTAGACAACATACACATACAGTACCTCCCTATATTCCGAGCTTTGAAGATTTTAGCTACATTATTCATGGACTATGGCTTATGACAAAAGTTGCCTATGCAGGTCCACGTCTTCGTATAGACCCTTGATAGAAGAATACAGGTAGATGCATCATCGATTGGGAACATTGATATGTCAAAATTTTTTAAATGTTCTTTCATATATAAGTAGATTTTTATACTTTTTCTTATACGACGTCTTTCGGAGGATATTATAATTTTCCGTTTTAAACAATTTTTAAATAATTTTCATTCAACATTTTCAATTCTAAAATTGGTTTGACAGTTCATTGTCCAGCAGCTGTGTCGATGCGTCTACCTATATTCTTTTACCAGGTATAGACCCCAATATACCGGATATATTCTGCAGTTTTAAGATTTTAACAGAATTTTCAACAGATTTTTTTCTGAAAATTTCAAAATTTGATACAAATGGTGTAGGGTATTCAATGTTCTGCCCGGCCGAATCTACTACTTTTTTACTTGTTTAACATAATTATTGGATGAATAAGAAGAAAATTAAAATTTGCTGCACAAAAATGATTTGGAATTCGTACTAATAATAATAATAATTCGTACTTTAAATAACGAAAGAGCTGAAAGTACGGAACATTGTACCTTTGAGATTGACCGATCGAAAAAGGAGAGACTTTGTACTATTTTTGAGACTTTGTACTTCAACAAAAATCAACCATAACCCTTGGGTCTTCCGAACCGTACCGAATATTTAAATAGCGCTAAGTACTGTACTACCAAAAGTCAATGAATGTGATGAATTCCGAGTTTTGGTGGAAGTTATATAAAGTAGCGGATTCCAAATATGACGTGCTAAAAAAAGTTATAAATAAGTCACCATTGTTGTGAGACGTTTGGAATTATTTTTTATACGAAGAAAAATAAATGAAATGCTAAATCTATGGAATATGGAATGCCACTGTGTCTAAATGAAATAAAAAGTCCAAAAAAGGATACGCAACACATTTTTTTTGAGAATGCAATAAATAAGTCAACAACAATAGTGGAATTCCAGCATATAAATTTGACCAGTTTTATTTCGAATTTAATTGTTATTGATGAATTAATTAATTTTTAAATAATTAGTCATCCCATTTTTTTTTTGTAAATAACTGTAGTATCTAAATTAAAATGGATATAAAAGAATTGAAATACATATATATATAATGGGAAACAAATTGGATAAAGGACGTCACATATTCGCATGCAAAACTATTTTGAAGAAAATGATTAATTGGATTTTATGACATCGTTAGTCGATATGATGAAATAGAGACATTTACCCTTTGGCTGATATTAACACAGGCCGGATCGTTTACACACCACAGAATGTTTTCAATTGAACAAAACAGTCACATTGAATTGCAGCTAACATTTGGTTCAGCCTGTCGATGAGTCCGCTCCCTTAATCTGAAAGTTGTTTTTATATTTGGCCACATGACAAACACGCCACACTTTGTTGAATGGGCGAGCAACGAAAAATTCTCTGAGTAGTTTGTAGCGTGTTTGGGAAAGTGTTGTCAGTCGCACAATCTCACACATCGTCACATACAATTAAAGCGATTAATTAAACTAATATTGGAGATAGCAGATCTGTTTTTTTTTTTAATGAAAATCTCAACGAAATAATTGTGCAAAAAAAGTGTGGAAAATCAATGGAATAATTAGTGAAAAACTCAGCGAAATGAGGTGCATTTTTAATATTTAAGCATCAATGCAAATTGCAATAGGGTTCAGTTGTGACCCGTGAATATGCCGAAGCGAAACATAAAGCGTACAAGAAAAGAGAATAGAAAGAAAACAGAATCGTTCAGTTGTAGAGAATCGTGCGGACATTCGGTGGAAATGTTTTCATTTAAATATTTCTCTTTTTTGTTCGTCGCCTTAGTAGCTCTTCAAACAATGGCGGCGTTAGCATCAGCAGAGAGCAGTGAAGAAGCGAGCAATGCTGTTGGGGACATCGACAATGAATGGTGGAAAACGGCAGTGTTCTATCAAATCTATCCAAGATCGTTTATGGACAGCAACGATGATGGCATCGGTGACCTGAGAGGTATTGTGTGTTCGACGATCTGTTACAATTGAAGGCTAATATCTGTGTGTTTGTGTTTTTAAAGGCGTTTTGTCGAAATTAAGCTATCTAGCGGAAACAGGTATAACTGCCACCTGGCTGAGTCCCATTTTCCAATCACCAATGATTGATTTTGGCTATGACATCTCCGACTTTAAAGCTATACACGAGGAGTATGGCACAATGGAAGATTTTGAGGAATTGATTGCTGAAGCGAATCGTTTGAATATCAAAATCATTTTGGATTTTGTACCCAACCATTCGTCGGACCAGTGCGAATGGTTCATTAAATCTGCAGCTAGGGAGGAAGGTTATGAGGATTTTTACGTTTGGGCAGATGGTCATATAAACGAGGATGGCGAAATGGAACCACCAAATAATTGGGTAAATACAAGGCAGTTTTATAAATATATTTGAGTCATACTTGTTCTGACATGACAAATTCGTAGCAATCGGTATTTTATGGTTCAGCATGGACTTGGCATCCTGAACGGGGACAATATTATTATCACCAGTTTACGGCCGAACAGCCAGATTTAAATTATCGCAACAGTAAAGTGGTCGAAGCTATGGACGATGTTATCACCTTTTGGTTGGACAAGGGTGTCAGTGGATTCCGCGTTGATGCGGTCAATCACCTATTTGAGGATCCGGAATTAAGAGATGAGCCGCTGAGCGGCAAAACACAAGATAAATCCTCACATCTTTATACTGAACACATCTATACAAAAGATTTGGTAAGGTTTGCCAATTTGACCATTACCGATTATCCAATTGAATGCAAGAATATCATTTAAGCCCGAGGTGTATGACATGTTGTATCACTGGCGTAACCTGCTCGACGAGTACACTGAAAAGCATGGAGGTCCTGCCCGCATAATGATGACAGAAGCCTATGCCGATCTTAAATTTTTAATGGATTATTACGAGAATGCGGATGGTTCCAAAGGTCCTCATTTCCCGTTTAATTTCTTCTTGCTTACCGACATTTCTCAAACATCGGATGCCAGAGATTATGTTTTCAATATCCAAAAGTGGTTGACATATATGCCCCGGAACCATGTTGCCAATTGGGTGATGAGTAATCATGATAATCCACGCATAGCTTCAAGGTTGGGAGTTGACAGTGTTGATGCCATGAATATGCTGTTAATGACTCTCCCGGGCGTGGCTGTGACATACAATGTGAGTATTTATGGAAAACTTGTGATGAGGTCGTTTTAATGTTTTTTGTGCAGGGCGATGAAATCGGAATGCAAGATTTTCGTGATATAAGCTGGGAAGATACGGTTGATCCACCGGCACGCAACGTTGGTCCGGATAAATATAAGGAAGTCTCCAGGGACCCAGTACGTACTCCTTTCCAATGGAGCGGCGAGAAAAATGCAGGTTAGTTAGAGGGAAATAGATTTTGGATTTTGTTTTTAATTATCAATTTCGTTATCAGGTTTCTCCAATGCCGATAAGACATGGCTACCTGTCCATCCCAACTATGAGGAACTTAATTTGGAAATTCAAAAATCGTTGGAGAAAAGTCATTATAGTGTTTACAAGGATCTCATCGAATTGAGAAAACTGCCAGTAATGGAACAAGGACGAACGGCATTAGAGGTCATTTCTCGAAACGTATTTACTGTAACAAGGTAATTATAGGTTTCCTTAGAGTATAGACAAATCTAATTGAAGGTATAAAAAGGTGAACAATGTGTTTGGAAATGTTGCGAAATATTTACTGAGAAACCTGTAGTGCTATTCGTGCACTCGTTAACGACAGATTTGACAAAAAACAAACATCGATATTAAATTTTTCTATTTACTTTTAATTTTTATAATTAAAGAAATCTGCCGGTAAATTAGCGACGTAAATGAAATATTCGCTAAATTCTTTAAATGGAAATAATGTTATATTCTTTAATTTTACTGTTACGATAAAATTTGCGCTTGAAAAAAGTAAGTAATTTTTGTCGATAAAGACGAAAATTAGAGTTTCAAATTGTTATTTTGTAGTAAATGACCTGAACACACATATGTCACCCGACTTATACCAAATTCCATAATACTTTACTGTTTAAATCAAGTTATTGAAGCTTTAAAAATTTAGTATTCTTTATGATAATATCTTCCTATTTTCAAAAACACTCCTTTGTCTTTTAACGCTTAAAATATTTATATTTTTATTTTATAAAAAATATTATTTATAATAATGTTAATTATTTTTTAGATCCCTCAAGGGCCACTCATCGATTTTAACAATTATCAACACCAGTGACGAAGAACAAATGGTGAATTTACTAGAGGTTCTGGATGAAGACATTAAACAGTTGACTGTTCTTGTATCCGGCGTTAATTCCATTTATGACAAAGGGTAAATATGGCTACTTACATAAATTAAAAAACAAACACACATATATCCTCACATCAATCAATTTGATCATTCACTCGAAAATATTATCTATTCTCCTTCTTGCCTCATTTTGCTTATCTTCTTTGTACGCTTTCAGGACTGAAATACCCCAAGAAGACTTTGAACACTTCATACTGACGCCACAGGAAGCTCTTGTTTGCATGATTGAATAATCACCAGTCCATATTCCCCTTTCCGTCTACAATTTCCTCCTTCTGACCGACCCAGCAGCGAATAAGAGAAACTGACAAGTACCTCCCTCGATAAACACCGGCCAAAAATTAACGGGGCGGGGAGGCTGGCGTATTTACACATAACGTTAATTCATAATAAACAAAACGAAGAAACAGAAGAAGAAAAAAGAAAATATTAAGCTCAGACAGTATACTTTCTGCTAGTTTTTCTTCATCGCTAATTACTTATGAATGTGGCCAAGCAGTGAGCGGGGTTCACGTCTGGCAAGGGTGGGCATTATCTGACAGCGGTAATAATAGAATAATGCTCTTAAGGGAATTTCCCCGGGGATTCTTTATTGAATATTAAAAAGTGTGCAAATGCAAGGGATTACAAACACGCAAACGGCCATCGTCAACGAAATGGAATGGCAATTAAAACGTTTCTCTATAAAATAATAATCATATCTAAAAAAAAAAACAAGTCATCAACTTAACCGGGCGGCCCGTGCATGTGGAAACATGTGGATGCTCTCCTGCCATCTTGTTCGCTTCAGCTCATAAAATATTCAGAATTTCCTACGGTAGGCCACTAATTAGTTGTACTGGCGAAACTGACCTCTGCTGGCCAAAATTGTGGCCCAGTGGTTTTTGTGGTAGCTTGACCGCATTGTAATTAACTAAATATTGAAGTTGTGGTCATTTTAATGGAATGCCGGCAAGGTAGAAGGTTTGTCGCATCAAAGGAATATTTTCATACATTTATTTAATTAGCTGAATTCATTTGAATTGCGCAGTCGGTGGACAAAAAAACGAATGTATTGTGTTTTTATGAAAGCTATAAAGTTGATTGATTTGAAATTGTTTTCAAAGAATGTCGATTTCACGGCAAAAAAAGGAATAATCAAATGAATGTAACTCCTATTGTGAAATAATGAAAAAATGGAGTTTCTTAATTGGTGGTGGGGGAGTGGTGTTTTTTTTTCTTTTTTGTAAAAATGCGATTATTGGAATATTTACGTCTTCCACAAAATCGCTATTTATGCGTTTGTCATCCTTCTTGAAAATATTTATATTTTGTGCGGAGCCAAAGTCGAATTGATGATAAATGCCCGGAATTCCACAAAAGCATTATATCGTTCTTTGTTTTTCTTTTAAATCGCCTTTTTTGCATATGATATAACTGTAAAAAAGACACTAGCTTATATTTCCCCATTCTTTACGTGAGATATGGCAGGTAACTATGGCATTGGTATTTGTTCAAGTAAATTTCTTTTTATAAGTATTTTAAGGAGTGGAGCGCTATATGTTTTTTTCATATTATGGTAGGGTAGGCGTTTACACGGTATGTTTTAAACAACTCGTCCTAAAACAAAAAACTTGTATTAAGGACTATATTTTTTGTTTGCTTTTGCATTTAGGTGATACATGATTTATGTCACCTTTCATTGTGTCTGAGAAAAAAATCACTGATTTTGTAGCTACTCTATACGTCCCAATTATAGATCAATCGACGCGGATTTTTGCATGGGAATATAGTTTAGGGCTAGGCAGAAGCCTACCAATTTGGGTGTTCATCGGATAATATTTAGCGGGTAAAATATACCATTTAAATTTTATGAAGAAAAATACGAAAATGTCCACATATAAATCAAGAACCCCTGGACGGATTTTAACTATTTTCACCAAATTGCAATGGGTTTTTTGACAGAAAAGGATAAAATCTAAGAAAATCGTAAAAATATGCCAATACAACACTGTGTGTTGAGGGTATTATATTCAGGCCGCAGCTAGCGTTTGTTCCTCACGAAATTTTGCATCGAGGTAGGGTTAGGATCAGAGCTTATTGTTTTGAAGGCGTTCAAATGGACCAAAAAATTATTTTTTCTGTCTCTCTACAGGTCACAATCAAAAACTAAACGACACAGAATTTTTTATGAGCAGAGAGTTAAGAACAGGGTAGAAGTCAAGCATTTTGAATGACTATTGGGTTATATTTGACGAGTAACATTGACCGTATCTTATATGTGATATTGTTTTGAATACCAATCAGCACGACAGAGAAGGGTAAATATAGGGCAAATGCCCGGTCAAAAACCAAAGGTTTTTTCGTGCAGAACTGTATGGAATTTTTTAAAAGATAAACTGAATTGGATTTGAGCCTAAGGGGTATCACATGGTCGGCCCGCACTACTACCTTTGTTTACTTGTTTTAAATGTCATTTTTGAAGCCATCAGCTACTCTAATGCGAAAGTCAATGAAATTGTACTCTTGGATTTTAGCAACCTTGATTTATATCCACAAATTCCGTTTGTAATGCGCCATACCTCTAGTGGCAGAACATATCTATATAGCACTCATGAAAGGCACCTTCAGGTTTTCAGCATAGGATTTTAGCTACATTGTCAACGATAGATGTTTGAATTTAGTTTCCTCGTAATAGACGCTGTAGCTGTATGTAGGTTAACCTTTTGGTATAGCGCCAAGTAGGTGCTCTTAATGGATCTCTTCCGAAAATGCCACTTTGCTTAAATAACAAATAATGCATGACTTTGATCTATTATCCCATGAAAGGATCAATATTCACTCATGCAGCAAGAAATTATAATATTCAAGGTATGAAAAATGACAATATATTGTGAACAGTTTTGGTCTGAAATCCGGAGGTAAAAATCTTAACTGTCACTGGTCAGAGGGCTATGATATTTCACAGCAATATAATAAAACTATAAAGTTATTGTTATTTAAATATATATATAACAATAATATTTCAAGATATCGAACTGCTCGTCTTGCTTTTGGGTTTGTCATTTAGATAGAAGTCTATTAAATATTTGGCACAATTTCACAATTATTTGTAGAATTAAAATTCATTCTTGTATAAAAAAGTAATTGAAATTTGATTCTAAATGCGTGTACGACAACAGACGTGTCCACTTGCAAAGCCATCGACGCCAAAATCTGCCCCGGACACGTCCTTGATAATTGGCCGCCTCCATTTGGAGAAGGAAGTTATGTTTTTGACAATTGTCAATATTTAATTATACGCATCGGTTTGTTCAGTTGATGGAATAAATGGAAGCAGACAGCTGCTGGAATTAATTTTCTATGATTTTAAGTTTTTTGTTCAAAGTTTCATAGCTCGGCTTCAATAGAAGTTTAATTTGTTTGTGACATAAACAGATACTAAAGACGATTCGTTATTAATACAGCTAAGCTAAATTCATCGGAAAAGAGATCGAATATCAAATTAACATTTCCCCAACGAAAACAATTAACATTAAAATTTCATAGGCATTTATCGCAAGTTTGCTATGACGAATGAGTGACATCCGCATTCATTAGCCGCCACCACCACCATATGCCACGCGACCCTGAGAAATGTTTTCCTAATTCGAGATAGGAAATACGGCATTATTAATACATTATCTTGAATTATCTAAACTACAACAAAAACAACGAAAACTCCAAATGGACAGGTCTCTCGTTGCCAGCAACTCAACTGTTCCCAATAGCGATGCGACGACATCAAAGCTCCTGACAAATAAAGTCATCAGCCTGACCATAGCAGCCCACCAAGGCATTGTCTGTCAAATACCAAAAGCCATGTCAGCGTAAGTATTTTGACTTTTCACTTTGCAGTTTTGAAATGTTAAAAGTTTTTTTTTTGTATTTGACTTTTGCGTCCTTTTGCAGAGAGCGCCGAGCCATGGTGCGAACCATTGTGAAGTTGGCTAATGTAATTTTGGTCGGGCTTTTATTCTACAAATTATGGAATAACAAATGGACAAAACTGAATTTCAACAAAGAAGCAATATTTTGAGGAGGGAGAGGTCAAAGTGTGAATCAACAGCAACTAATGAAAATATAATTAACTCGACTGTTCTGTTCTTTAAAGAAATTTAAAATGTAAATAGATTTTAGTGGATGAAAGTTAATCAAGTCAGAGATCAGTGGACTTGTTGTGAATTGGTTTCATGCAAATTATTTGTAACTGCCTAATTAAAAAAAATCTCAATATAAATAATCATGGAAATTCTCCGTAATTATGAGATTTTTTAGTTAAAAAAGAAGAATGGTATTCAGTTATTTAAACAGCACCGGCACAGGTTCAAAAACTTTACCCGATTTGAGCATTTCTATTCCTTTTACCAACTCAACCACTGGATACTTCTTGTTATTGTTGCGGCTCGTGTTGTTTCAATTCCAACTAAAAGATATTCCAGCATCTGGAATTATTCCCTGGCACACATTTTAATCCAGCCACAAGACAGCATGGCGACTGTCTCGAATCAGTGTCGAGTATTTGTGCCCCCTTGTAAAAGTTTTCCATTTCCTTACAGGTGGTTGTTTTTCCAGCCTAAGATTTTGTTTGTTGTCAGAGATAATAAAAACCCAATTATAAATGAGAAAGAAAAACATCTCCAAGAATTTCCTTTCTTCGGAATCCGAAGGATGAGATGGAATCAAATGAACACCTCGGCGAAGCTGTGTTTATAATCCGCACAAGTTGCTTTGTAATCTTTTGAGTTTCTATTGAATCTCATTTAGACGTTTTGAGAGCCACCTCCACTGCCGGGGAAAATATTCAGTGGCGTTCTCAGATTGTCGGGTGGCTATGACGATAATGTGTTTTCGTATTTCATTCCTTGAAGTGCCTGGGAAATAACTATGAAGTACTCGTGGATGTATGACTAGGCAAAGGTAGTTGTAGTTGTCTGTACAGCGGCAACATTTTGATAGCAGGCATTATCGCTCCGAACAAATCAAGGGAAACAGAAATTGACTCGGTGTAAAATTGCATGAAAACTTAACGAGAAAATATTTCCGATGAATGACTTGTGAAAACAGCATTAGCAGCAGCAGTAACAACAACAGCTACAGCAACTCCCATGCAAGTCTGGAAAACATCCTCATTTGTGATGTGATGCCAATTCGCCCCACATCCATGACCGCCCACACTGGCTGATGTGAACGGATACAATTTTGTTACAGTCCCTTGAAAATACAAGTGGAAAGTGGAAAATGCGCATTCATCAATGTTCGATGTTATTGTGTTGTTGCCATTTCCGTAGATCCATAATGGAAATGTTTGCCATCTACCGTTGGCTTTGTTTCGGCTGCCATCTACCACTCCAATCCCGTTTGCCTCGGGGTTTGTTATAATGGCAAGAATCCATTTAAAATCAGTTTAATATTCATTCCCACTCGAA